TTTCCCTTAGGAAGCTTCTCATCCCATAATTTCCCTTTCGGTATGCCAGTCTTTTGTTTTCTAGTTCTTTTTTTTGGGTGAGATAATTCCTAGCTCTACCAGGTACTCAAAGTTCAATATACTGTGATCACCCATTCCCAAGGGTGCTTCCATCTTGACTTCCCTTATATTCCATATCCAGCAGCTTAGCTCTCCATGTTTCTGGTCCTCCATGTGGGTCTCTGTTCTCCCAATCTATCTTCCCATGTGTTATGTAAATGGCGGGCTTGCTATGGGGAAACTGGTACTATTAAGGGGTAAGGGTAGTTAGAAAACAGAGTTATCAAATATGGGAGAGCTAAAAGGCCCGGCCCCCAAATAAAACTATAAGCAGTGCTGAATACTTGGCTACACACAAGGTCAGTCTAGAGGTTGATCAATGCACTCCCACACAGGAAGAAGGGATACTCTGTTCTAATTTACTTATTTATTAACCCCTTAACAACCCCCCATATACACTCACACCAATAACAATAATAATAATAACTTTACCACACTATCTTACATTAAAAGCCTTGGTCCACTTAGGCAGGATACAAGGTTTACACTGTGAACAAGCTAGGGTAAAGTACTACTGGATTAGCACTGAAGCTGGATGCAGCTTAGGGTAGTGAGACCACATGGTACCCTAATACTAAACACAACACTTAGGGGTACCCAAAACACTGGCAAAAACTACCCCCAGGTCTCACCAATCGTTACTACCAGAGTAGGCACACTTAAAACACCGTACTTAACTTAATGGTACAGGAACTTAAGGTAAGGGAAAAAAGTAAGAGGAGAAGGGAGGAGAGTAGGGGTGCAGCCACAGAGTAGGTCTCGTCCCCACGAACGCCAGCCAGAAGAAGAACGCTCCCAGCGACCAGCTCAGGCCTCCCGCATGTGGTGGTGCCGGGAGGAGCCTAATTGATCGTGCAGCTAAGCACATTAAAAATCTTCCCCTATGCAACATGTTACTTTACAAATGATTAGAAAGTATTAGTAAACATAGTTGGTGCCTATGTTATTATTTAATAATCAACCCCCAGCTCAGTCTTTAAATGCTCTTTGAGAAACAAGACTAGTCTTACGTCTGGCAGGGAAGATACAAACAAATACACATTGACTTGCGTTTTGCTAATCTAACGTAGCTTATTTAGTTCAATTTTGATCTCTGGTTTCCACTGAGGAACCCCAGGGTCGTAACACCATGGTTGAAGTCTCCTATGAGTAGTAGTCCAGATCCATTCCTGCTAGCAACAGAAGCTGCTCAAAGGAGCCGGTCGGCCGAGCGGACAGCACGCTGGCACGTGATCCTATGGTCCCGGGCACCGGCGAGAAACAATGGGCAGAGTTTCTTTCACCCTTTGTCCCTGTTACCTAGCAGTAAAATAGGTATGTAGGAGTTAGTCAGCTGTCACGGGCTGCTTCCTGGGGGTGGAGGCCTGGTCGAGGACCGGGCCGCGGGGACACTAAAGCCCGGAAATCATATCAAGATAACCTCAAGATGCTCTGTCTATTATGTTAATGGTTGCCATGTTGTTTCTATCATATTCCTGTCTGGGTCTTCTGTCATTTGGTGGTGGATTATATATGACTACGACTATAATTTTTTGCCCTCCAGTTGTTATTGTACCTGTTATGTAATCACTGAAACCTTCACATCCCTGAACAACCATTTCCTCAAAATCCCAGCCTTTTCTTACCAGCAGGGCTACACCACCACCACCTCTTCCTTCTCTCTCTTTCCTCATAACATAATAGTCCTGTGGGAACACTGCATTTGTTATGGTTTTTGTTAGCTTTGTTTCTGTGAGAGCTATTATGTCTGGGTTTTCCTCTAGTACCCATTTTCCAAGTTCATTTGCTTTATTTGTAATTCCATCTATATTAGTGTACATTGCCTTAAGGCTCACTTTTTTCTGTCCCTTCTCAAATCTCCTCCTTGGTGAGTGTTCTGCTGTTGGGGGTTATCTGTTCCATGGGTGTGAGGATTTGTGAGGTGGATAACAGGGTTGCAGAGGATACTGGGATGAGGGGGTCAAGTGAAGGGGGAGGGTATGGGGTGAAAGGGAAGGGAGGACAGGAAGGAAAGGGGGGAAGGGAGGGGGGACTCGGTGGGAGGAGGGGAGGGGTAGAAGGGTAGGGATTGGGTGTCGGGGGAGGGAGATTTGGCTGGGTATTTGAGTGGGGGCAGAGAGGGTTTGGAGTAGGGGGGCTTTCTATGCAGAGGAGGGTGGTGGGGTTGCCCTCCCCACTGGTGTTACTGGGTAGCTGGTTGTGGGTTCCCCCCCCCCTCGCCTCTGGGGGTGATGTGTTGGGAGCTGTATTTCCTGGTTTTCCCCTCTCGCCCTGCGCTTCTTCCTTGCTTCTGCCGCCATGGCCCTCTCCTCCCTCGTCATGTCCCTCTGGAGGAATACTTTTTTGAATTCTCCCACATGTTGCAGGTGGCTTTTCTTTGTTAGAATCATCTCCTTTGTGTTTTCGTTTGCAAACACTATCTTTAACATACAGTCTCGGTCTTTTTTGTACCAGCCTAGCCTGAAAACCTTCTCAATGCTATGCTCGGCCCCTTCCATGTCTAGAGCCTTCAGTATTTCATTCACTGCCACTTTGTCCTTATCATTCCACTCTTTCCTATTAGAGCCTTCCTGCTCTTTAATACCCACAGCTACCACTGATCTTTTCCTTTCCAGCAGCTGGCTAGTGGAGCATGCCGCTTCCTGTGAGGTGGCTGCTTTCATGGCTACCTCCATCACTGCAGACATTACATCAGTTTTTTTTTTTTTTTTTTTTTTTTTTTTTTTAGCATTTCTGCAAATGTTGCTTTTATTGCCATTCTCTTCCAAAATACTATTACCACCTGCTCCCTGGGTGGTCATCCGAGTCTCAGCATCGATACTGTTCTCTTTGAGGGCTCTAATCTCCTCCTTTGTTGCTGTCAGCTCTCTCTTTTTAAGTTGCTTATTTAATTCTTCATTTCCTGCATCTCACTCTTGATGTCCTCCAGAAACTGGGCGAACATTTCCTTCATTTTATCACCTGGACTTTTCCCTGTTCCCCTGTTACCTCTGGCTGTCATGCTTGACCATGTTCCTAGTTGTGCCGTGATAGGATTTGTCAGCAGGGCAGAGCGGGGTGGGGGGGGATGGGGGGAGAGGGGGGGAGGGAGAGGGGGGGAGGGAGAGGGGGGGAGGGAGAGGGGGGGGAGGGAGAGGGGGGGGAGGGAGAGGGGGGAGGGAGAGGGGGGAGGGAGAGGGGGGAGGGAGAGGGGGGGGGGGGAGAGAGGGGAGAGAGAGAGGGGGGAGGGAGAGGGAGAGAGGAGAGGGGGGAGGGAGAGGGAGAGAGAGAGAGAGAGAGAGAGAGAGAGAGAGAGAGAGAGAGAGAGAGAGAGAGAGAGAGAGAGAGAGAGAGAGAGAGAGAGAGAGAGAGAGCGAGCGAGTGGGAGTGGGAGAGAGTGGGAGAGAGTGGGAGTGAGAGAGGGAGAGAGGGGGAGAGAGTGGGGAGGGGTAAGAGAGAGAGTAGGGAGTGTGTGTAAGGGGGAGGCGGGGGACTGGGGGGAGGCGGAGATGGCGACCAGGTCAGATCAGGTCAGATGGGGGGTAAGAGAGGGAGTGGAGTATAGTGAGGTCTTATCCCCTTTGGTAAAAGGTGTTAATCCTTTCTTCCCTGAATGAACGTTTGTGTGTGTGTGTTTTTGCGTGTGCCTGCGTGCATGCGTGTGTCACGAGTTCCCGTAAGTGTTAACCTCTACCTAACATGAGCCACTTTGAGATTTTAAATCTATATGATATCCTGAACAAGAATGATAATATTTTACCTCACTATGTACACCTGAGTGATTGACCAGAGAGGGGTACCTACCAGACAGCCTCCCACTCACAGAACTAGACGAGTAATGGCAATGTATGGATGACGATGGTGATCCGTCGTCGCTTCCCACTTGGTGATTCACTAAGTTCTAGTAGATTGATGATGGCGGTTCTTCTCTATCTACACAAAGCTCTGGAGTCAGTCACTGTATCGTTGTGTTACAGTTCCCTAATTTACTGTACCACCGATCACAGTCACCACCCAACAAACACAATCAGGCAGTTCCACGGCAGGTCGTCCCACGCTGGCCGTCAGGTCAGGTCACTCCACGCGGTTCTCCACACTATATATGCACCGGTGATGCCACTAGCTCCACTTTGGTTTCTTCGCACTATCGCTAATGATATGACTATGCTATGTTGCACTCTGCTAGCTACACACTGCGAAAGGCCAAATACTATGATCTAGCCTCTATACTCCTTCAATGCCCCAAGAAACTGACGAATTTCCGCGGACCTCACTAATCGTGTGTCTCTCCCACCGGAGGCGGCCTACTACTATGTGTACCATATGCGTTGAGTGCAAAGTCATGGTCTCATGGATTGCTTCTTTGAATATCACACACTTGCCAAGTACCGAGTGTGTAATACAGTATGTTGGTGTGTAGTGTGTGAAACTGTACATATTATAATTTTAGTGAATTTTCAACATGTAATATTGTGACAAACATTTATTGTGGACACATTACTGACACATGTATCACAGTTCCATGGAACATTACGAACGTTCTACTATATAGAGATTGTAAAGGACACAAATGTGCATCATATATGATCATAAAAACAAAAAAAATGCATTGGAAATACTGTACATAGAATAAATAGTAGAAAATATAATTGTGGCAACCCGCGGTGCTTGAATGGACTGCGCGACTGCCTCTGGGAGCTTCACGCATGAGTGCACAGCAAATGATGACGTCACACGCCCCCTTCTCCATGTCCCTACATCCAAAGTAAGTGCTGTTTATTATTTTTTTTACATGTATGTGCACAGGGAAGGGAATTGATAATTTTACAAATATAAAAATTTTTGCGAACACTATTTTCGGCGCACAGGGGAAATGTCCCCATTAAAGCCGGTGCAGCACAGTGGTTAATTAGAGTATTGTGTTGAATATGATACTTCATATATTTAACAAATAACAAAACAGGTTATACCATACAAAAATCAATCGGCAAAAAATAAAGTTCTTATGTTGTTTAAATAAAATCTAACAGTTTGAACTAAATGTTTGCCAGAGACTAATTCAACACAATCATCACTTGGCAACAGAGGAATCTTACACAGTAATGAATTTATGCACCATAAACATTCAGCATGTCATATCTTGCACAGTAAAGATTTTATGCACCAACATCTTGCTTGACAAGATATCTTACACAGTAATTAGACTATTATTGATATTTATCAGTAGCCTTGCCTCTACACAATCCACTTCATTATTTTAATAAATGCAACTTTGCTATTATACAAGATCATTTTCAAGCAATTCCTGGGTTCAGGAGGTAACTCAATTCTCACAGGAAGGGAGAAACTACTGTAGCAGTAGTAGTGTAAGAAATACTATTGACTCACATTTTAGTATGGTTAAAAGATTTCAATTAAATTTATTTTTAACATTGAAAAAACTAATTTCAGAGTGGATTTGTAAATAAATAGTTATGTGACATTTCTTTTTTGTGACATTATGACATTTGACATAAATAAATAGTTATGTGACATTTAACCAGGAAATGTGGGGAAAACTTACACATGTCTTATACTATCATTCTACTTCTTTGCTTTTAATGACAGGAAAATGTGTGTTGTGAGATGACTAACATGTTACTATAACTTTACTATGAGACCCAGAGATGAAACATGTCCAGTTTGGTACATTTATCTATTCCTTTGATTATTTCAACATCCAAAGATTGATTCACCAAAATAATAATTTTTTTGGGGGGGTGAGGGAAGAAACAACCCACCACAAACTATTGATGGTAGCAGTTAGCATGACAGTATAAACATGAAGGTGCTGAGCATTGGTTCAATGATAACAGTGAACCAGTCACCATTGAACCAATGATAACTGGTTCACTGTTATCATTGCTTCCTTCTGCAGAACATTTCTGCTCACTTAATAGATAAATCATCATCAAAGAGATAATCGCTTCCACCAGCACAACCTTCTAGTCAGGATACATTTATCAAGCATCAGCTTGAGACATCTGATGACTGGTGAGTCCCTAGATAAGAAAATAGCCAGTTAAAATATGAACTGTGATGGGCAAAACATTATACTAGGCAATTGTTATCATTTATATTTATACAATACAATACAGTATTCCACTACTGTATTTCCTTTAAAAAATAATTCTTTAGTTACTGTAATTTGACTACAGAAAGAACCTGAAAGATGTTTACAGCTTTTGCATAGAATGTGATGAGGAAACATTACAGAAGATAAAGGTGAATTGAGGTCAGGAACACGAGGGATTTTGAGTTTGAATATGTATTTTTTCAAGCATATATTTAGGAAGATGGGTAGCAACATTGAATTTTCCTTCATTCTCTCTGACGGTATTGTAGTCGTTGATGCCTGAAGATTCTATACATTCTTTCCTAGTGTTGTTTTCTTCTTGGAAAATGAGATAGTCATCCTAAGGATTGCGTAAGGATTGGAAATGTCATAAAAAAATGTGGACTGCAAAATCAATAAACAGCATGATAGAGGACAGCATGATGAGATGGATTAGGCATGTTGCATGACTGGATGAATGTAGACTGGTGAAGAGTATATTCAAATGCATTTCAGGGTTGCATAGGTGGGATGAGAAGATGGGTTGACATACCAACTGAGTCAGGAAGCAAGAATTTAGATGTTAGGTGAAAGCAGTTTGTAAGGAAATGAATGTACTGTACAGTATTTTTTTGTACGCTACCGTGTGCTTTCCTAAAATGAAAAACGATTCCTCATAATTGTAGTTGCAATGGTGGCTTTTACTTTTACAAAAACACATACTAGATAATACACCCTCACTGGGGCGAAGGAGTCTGGCCACTTGAAACACCACACAGACAGGCAAGCAGGTTGAGTGCAGGGAAAGCATCTTTGCGAAGCACACACTGAGTCCCATCCTCCAATTACCACTGAGGGCAGGGTGTAAGCAAATGCAGGACACAAAATTTTCATAAGTAACCCAAGCATACCTTCAGCTAAAGTGCAAGGACCCTAACATCCACAGGAGCAGGATCAAAATATAGGCAGGTCCTTCAGCATGCATAACTGCAATCTAAATTTTTCAATGGTTGTAAGTTGAGATGGCTGTTTCCTTCCCATCAACAGGCCCTGTAAGGGAAAATAAATCTCATGCACTATCCAGAAGCAAGGTGACTCAATAAGTCAGCTCATAGAAGAGGGAGTCTACAACCCTTCAGAGCAGGTATCTTTGGTCGGGTACAAGGAAAACAAGCGGACCCTCTGGACAAGACATACTAACCACATTTTAAGCAAATTGGAAAGCTAGTGCATACACTACGCCCGTGCGCGAGTGCACACACACAATGTGTGAGTGTGTGTATGCACGCGAGTTCTCCCATATAACAGGGCTTGATGAAAAACGCGAGAAATCCCTCACACTCTTAAATTTTTATGAATTCAAAAGGTGACACCCCTAGGGTCAACACTTGCATCACAGGAGCTCCAGCATATTTCAACAATCCTAAGTATTGTAGTGCAGGTTGATGATAGTGAGTGGTGTCCCAGAGAACAAAGGTATAGTGCTTTTGAAAATAGGTGAGATAACAATTATGTGCCAATTGAAGTGAAAAATTGGATGAGAAAAAGTTGCCCTAGTGTTTCCAGTGCAAAGAAGAACATTCAAGATGGCTGCCGGCAAGAGGAAATACAAAACAGAGCTTGATTTTGCTGAATTCAATGAAAAAAGCATTGATATAACCAGTCTACATAACAAGTTGGTAAAATTAGATAATACAGTGAACTCTCATGTAGAAATAATTAGTAAATTGAAAGAAAGTAATGACCATTTAAATAGCAAAGTTTTATGTCTTGAGGGTTTAGTGAAAGACATGTGCAAGGATAAGAATCAATTGGAAACAAATTGCAAAGCCATGGAAGAAGAAAATAAACTCTTAAAAATAGCTTTGGAAGACGTTAAAGTAAATTTAAACATAAATGACTACAATAGGTTAGGTAAGGAAATTAAACATACGAAACAGCTTTTGTCAGCACAGATGAGGGAAGTTACACAGGGTATAGAACAGTGCAAGAAAGATATGCAACTCACCTATGCACAAGTGGCCAAGGAGAAGGAAAAATTGAAGAAGCAGTAAAGGAAGTCAAACACTGCAGCAACCAAGATAAAACAAAAATTAGGCTGGAAGTGAGAAAGGAATTGGCATCTAACCCGAAATTGGTGCAAAACACAGTTGATCGGAGTAAGTACCCGATAATTTTTGGGTGCAAAGCAAAAGAAGATAACATCTAGGTCAGAAAGAGCTGTAGAAGAAGCGAAAGTAGTAGATAAAATTGCTGGCTTCGTGGAAGGTCTTACTACCATAGAGAATGTGTGCGACTACAGGAAAATAGGCAGATATGTAAAAGGGAAAGATCGGCCTTTGAGGATCACCCTAAATGGTGCCAAACAGCTGGAAGAAGTACTTAGGAATGCTAGAAAATTACAAAGTGATGAGGATGGGAAAGTTTGGCCGTTAAGACGAGATCTTTCAAAAGAAGATAGGGAGAAGCTGAAACTGAACCTCGCCGAGGCATAACGTTTAAATGAGAGCAGGAATGAAGAAGAAATCAATTTTTTTTCTACAAAGTGATAGGGGTAGGCAGACCAGTAAAGTGGTACATAAGGCAAACCATCAAAATCATTAGGGACAGGGGGAAGTGAAGAATAAGAAGAGGGGGAACCAGTTCCTGAAGATTGCATACACCAACATAGATGGAGTGAAATCGAAGATACTGGAGTTAAGTGATGTAATACAGCTGCAGACACCATACATTGTTGCACTCACGGAGACAAAACTTGAAAAGGTTATTTTAAACGAGGTCATATTCCCAAGGGGGTACTCAATTTGGAGACGGGACAGAAAAATTAGGAAAGGCGGTGGCGTTGCTGTGCTGGTGAAAGAACACCTATCTTGAGGTTATCTTGAGATGATTTCGGGGCTTTTTTAGTGTCCCCGCGGCCCGGTCCTCGACCAGGCCTCCACCCCCAGGAAGCAGCCCGTGACAGCTGACTAATACCCAGGTACCTATTTTACTGCTAGGTAACAGGGGCATAGGGTCAAAGAAACTCTGCCCATTGTTTCTCGCCGGCACCTGGGATCGAACCCAGGACCACAGGATCACAAGTCCAGCGTGCTGTCTGCTCGGCCAACCGGCTCCCGGCTCCCGGCTCCCAGTTCACCTAAAGGTGAACGAAATAATGACTGCCAATCCACAAGAAGTTGACATAATAGCACTAGAGATCTGCCATGAGGATGATAAACTAATGATCATAAATGCATACAGTCTACTGCCAAGCAGCACATGGTCAAGGGAGGAGCTAAATAGTAAACGAGAAGGTCTTATAACAATAATGAGAGAGATCATGGCGAGAGCGGATAATGACAGATCACGACTGTTGATAGTCGGTGACTTCAACTTGAAATCCAAAGACTGGGAAGCATATGAAGCTAAAACAAAAGACTTTTGGACCTGTAAATTTGTAGACCTCATCCTGGAAACATTCTTGTATCAATATGTTAAACAAGCTTGTATCAACATGTTAAACAATGAGGGAAGGGGACATTCCCTCCATGCTAGATTTTATATTTACCAGGATGGAGGAAGAAATATTTGACATTCCGTACCTTCCTCCTTTGGGTAAAAGTGACCATGTCTTTTTGGGAATAAAGTATGCAATGCATTATAATCTGGAAGAAAATAAGAAGGTTGATGCAATTGAAAAACCTGACTTTAGGGGAGGACATTATGGCAACCTTAGAGATTTTTTAGTGAGTATAATTGGACAGACTTGTTGCTAGGCAAGGAAGTAAATGAGATGTATGTCAGGTTTTGTGAAATATATGATAAAGGCACAAAAATTTTTATACCAAAACAGAGATGCAGAACTAGGAAACAGGATTGGTTCAACAGAAATTGCGAGAGGGCCAGAGACCAAAAGACACAAAAATGGAATCAATACAGGAAGAGGCCAAACCCCCAAACATACCAGCGATACAAAGATGCGAGAAACAACTACACGGCAGTGAGGAGAGAGGCAGAAAGAAATTTTGAAAAAGGGATTGCAGACAAATGTAAAACAGAACCAGGTCTATTCTATAAATTCATAAACAACAAATTGCAAGTAAAGGAAAATATTCAGAGGTTGAAAATGGGAAATAGATTCACAGAAAATGAAAAGAAAATGTGTGAAACATTAAACGAAAAGTTCCAAAGTGTGTTTGTACAAAATGAAATCTTCAGGGAACTAGACAATAAGAATTCCAGACAACAACATAGAGCACATAGAGGTGTCTAGAGACGAAGTGGAAAAAATGCTCAAGGAGCTAAATAAGAACAAACCAGTTGGTCCAGATGGAGTTTCACCATGGGTTCTGAGAGAATGTGCACCTGAGCTCAGCATTCCACTTCAACTGATTTTTCAGGCATCCCTGTTTACAGGAGTTGTAGCTGATGTGTGGAAAATGGCTAACATAGTTCCAATCTACAAAAGTGGAAGCAGGGAAGACCCCTTTAATTATAAACCTGTATCATTGACAAGTGTAATAGTCAAAATATTGGAAAAAATAATTAAAACTAAATGGGTAGAACACCTGGAGAGAAATTATATAATATCAGACAGACAGTATGGTTTTCGATCTGGATGATCCTGTGTATCGAATTTACTCAGTTTCTATGATCGAGCAACAGAGATACTACAGGAAAGAGATGGTTGGGTTGACTGCATCTATCTGGACCTAAAAAAGGCTTTCGACAGAGTTCCACATAAGAGGTTGTTCTGGAAACTGGAAAATATTGGAGGGGTGACAGGTAAGCTTCTAACATGGATGAAAAATTTTCTGACTGATAGAAAAATGAGGGCAGTGATCAGAGGCAATGTATCAGACTGGAGAAATGTCACAAGTGGAGTACCACAGGGTTCAGTTCTTGCACCAGTGATATTTATTGTCTACATAAATGATCTACCAGTTGGTATACAGAATTATATGAACATGTTTGCTGATGATGCTAAGATAATAGGAAGGATAAAAAACTTAGACGATTGTCATGCCCTTCAAGATGACCTGGACAAAGTAAGTATATGGAGCACATAAATTCCATAAGTATATGGAATTTAACACTTTGGCGTACCCCGCGCGCCAACCCTCAACTGTGCGATTTGGGTCCCAATGTTTCACGGGAGCGCGCGTTAATTCTGAAAAGTGTATACTCTCTTCAACTTTGTCACCTCAATTCTCGTCCTACAAGATTAAATTTGGAGGAGGCCTGGTCAATGACTGGGCCGCGGGGACGCTAAGCCCTGGAAGCACCTCAAGGTAAGGTGGTATCATTGTGTTCGCAATAGAATTCTCTACAGCACTAAATGAATATGAACTCCAAAAGCTGGCTAATTACCCGCAGAAAAACAGAGAAAGTGCGAACGAGTTACCCAGGAGCGTGCAAAAGCGATAAAATGTGTTCACTCTTTTCACTCTGGTCACCTCAATTTTCGTCCTAAGTCTTTCATTTTGGTATCAATGGGTTCGCAATAGAATTCTCTAGAGGAATATTAGCATATAAAATAAAAAACCTGGTCACGCTCCACCCGCCGACGAGTTGAAGACGGGCCACGCGTTAACCGCGAGTGAGCGCCCAGACGCCTTCCAGCTACACTCCCAATTCCTGCCCACAAATGTTTAGTATTTAGTATTTTAGTATATTTAGTATTATAGTTTAGTATTTTTTGTGTAGTAGTTGTACATCACATAAGCATTGTAGATAGCCATTTGCACAAAATAGAAGGTCATTTTCTTCGTCCATTTGTGAGTTTTCCTTATGAAGTGATAATATTTGATCATTTGGTCAAAGTGATCAACACCTTTCATGTTTGTATTGTAGTCACAGATTGCATTCGGCTTGTTGACAGTTACCAAACAGTCCCCCAAAAATCAGATAAAAACCTGATTTTTGGCAATTATTTTAGTGGACGACGCAGCATTGCATCATCACCGAGATTACCGACAGTAAACGGATGACGCAATGCTGCGTCATGCCCGGACTAAAGTGTTAATGTTAATAAATGCCATGTTATGGAATGTGAAATAGGAGAACAG